GTACCAGATTGCCTGTGTCCTCCCATGGCAGAATGCAAAAGGGCAAAAGAAGTTACCTGCAGCCTCTTTTATAAGGGCCTTAATCCCCTTCACAAGGGAGGAGCCCTCATGGCATGATCGCCTCTTATAGGTCCCACTTCTTAATGCTGTCACTTTGGCCACTCATGAAATTTGGAGGGAACACATTCAAACCATTGCAGGTGCTTGAATAGTTTGCTTATTTAATTTGAACAACAACCCTGTTATAACAGTTATATGTTACTAGCATATATAATATTACTGTAACAATGGCTAGCATTTATTGAGCATTTACTAAGTGTTGGCACTGTTCTATGTGCTTTGTATATATATTAATGCATTTAATCCTCACAACAGTTCCATCAATAATGTACTGTTACCTTCAGAGAGAGGTTAAATAACTAACCCAAGGTAACATAGCTAGTAAGTGGTAGAGTTATCATTTGAACCCAGGCAGTCAGACTTTAAAGTCTGAACTCTTCTGTCTGACACAAACATGCCTTCTTAAAACAAATTCACACTGCACAAAAAAGTCAGAAAAAAGCTCTCTACTAGATCACAGTTAACTCTAAGTAGGTGGGAGATACTAGTCGGTCCTACCTTACACGATAGATGACATTTAATAACAACAATAACAAGCATTTATTGAACAACCCTAGTCACTCTACTGAGTGCTATATAATACATTGATTTATTTAATCCTCAAAACAACCATAAGTGTTAGTTAATTATGATTCTTGATCGCTTTTATATAGATTTAGAAACTGAAGCTTAGACAAATTAGGTATCTTGTCCAAAGTTATGCAACCAGGAGGTAATAGAGGCTGAAGAGCTCAGGTTTTAACCAATCAATATGTTATACCAGTTCCCCCGACTTAGTAAATGATTACCATATGTAAACAAAAATTCTCAATCTAAACCTGTTAAAGGTAATTCATAGCAGTCTCCTTTCTAGCATATTGGTTAAATATAGAAGAGTTACTGATATGGGTCATAAAAATCTACCCTAGGTTTTCAGATAGCTCTAATTGCCCCTCGCCCCCTTTATGGTGGAAAATCCTGCCTTAACACTGAGTATTGTCCTATGATCAAAACACTTCAAAAACAGTGTTTCTGTGGCAAATATCCCTATTTAATCTCCAAGTGTCAGTGACTTTCTTATTGTTATTTCTAATAATTAAATAATAAGTAAAAGTGACTACCACTCAAATA